AGAACTGGGGAAAGTCAGCCATATTTGCCATGGACCCTGGTAAGACATGAAGTTTATTAGTCCAGAGATTCGGACTCCTGAGAGTCCCAGGAGAAGTTCAGAAAAACTGCAGACAGCTGAGTTCCAGGACAGCCAAGGCTGTTATGCAGAAAAACCCTGTCTTGAATCTCCCCAAAAGGCAAAGAACTCCCCAAGAGCCCCAAGTTTGGACCAAGACTCCAGCTAGCAGGGCTCCCAGCCCAGGGCATTCCCTGCTTGCAGGCCTCTCCGGCGTGTCCTAGGCCCTGAAGCATTCCTGGGTTGCCAACAGTAGCCCAGGTATATCTGTTAAAGTCTTTGGAGAAAATTCCCCCAAGGTCTATACATGTGTCCACACGCCTGTACACACTTACACAGATGTGTGTGGAAGTCAGAAGACAATTTCGGGTGTTGTTCCCTAGGAAGGCTTCCACCAACAGCTTCGCCAATGTAGACTTCACCAGCTGACCAGTGAGTTCTGGATTTCACTGTTTCCTCCTCCTGTCCTACATTGCCAGCTCTGGTATTACAAGTTTTTGCTGTGCCCAGCTTTTTTTTTTTTTTTTTTGGTAGGGGTCTGAGGAGGCCTCAGGTTCTCAGGTTTGCAAGGCAAATGCATTACTGGCTGAGCCTCTCCGCAGACCCCATCTCTGTTGGACCTTGAAGACTCAGAGGCCAGATCCTATATGTCCATCTCTCGGGCTAGAGAAAACGGATTGGGGACGTCAAGAAAAGTTGGTGGGAGACTCAAACATCTACCACAGTGTTGTCCCACAACTGATTCTGTGGCTCATGTGGCTCGAGATGGAGAGGTTGAAGGAACTGAGCCAGGCCCTGTGCAGCTTTCCCAGACACTTCTTGAATGACTTATGTGTGGACAGAGAAGCCAGGGCGAATGTCTGAGGTTCGGGTGTTGCTCGTGCTGTCCCCCAGTGACTGGTGACGATCCTGACCCCCGCTGACCCTTTGCCTGAGCTGTTTCGCCTGCCCTCCTGGCTCCTCACCGGATGGTAGCACAGGGGCCAGAAATTCTCTGTCGGAGGCAGCCGGCGTGCAAGGCAGGAGCTTTCTAAACAGGAAGGAGTGAAAGGGGAAGGTATCATTGCACTCGTGGGAAAAGACACTTTCTGGGGGAGGCACCAGAGAAATCAACTGAAGCGCCTCGGGGTGGTCCAGTGAGTGAGAGTGAGAGGGCTCGAGCCGACAGCTTGAGTCCGGGTCCCTGGATGCCACGTGAAAAACTGCGTGCAGCCAGGTGGCGCACGCCTTTAATCCCAGCACTCGGGAGGCAGAGGCAAGGGGATCTAGGTGAGTTTGGGACCAGCCTGGTCTACAGAGCGAGTTCCAGGACAGCCAGGACTGTTACACAGAGAAACCTTGTCTCGAAACAAAACAAAACAAGTCATGTACAGTGGAAACTGGATAGATGGGGAGGAAAAACAGAATGGCTGCGAGCTCCGTGGCCAGATAAGCGAACGCAGCGCCACAGACACAAGAGGCCAAGTAAATAAGCAAATGTCGTTCACTGTTTTAAAGACAGACTTTCCCTGTGTCTACCTGGCTGGCCTAGAACTCGCTATGTAGACCAGGCTGGCTTTGACTGCTCCTTAGAGATGCCTTCTGGATAATTAAAAATTAAAAAAAAAAATCAAGGGCTGGAGAGCTGGCTCAGAGGTTAAGAGCACTGACTGCTCTTCCAAAGGTCCTGAGTTCAATTCCCAGCAACCACATGGTGGCTCACAACCATCTGTAATGGGATCTGGTGCCCTCTTCTGGCCTGCAGGCATACACATAAACAGAATATTGTATACATAATAAATATTTAAAAAAATCAAATCCAATTCAAATGCTGTAAATTAAAATAAAACCCCTGAAAGGAATAGAACTAGCTGCTTGTGTGGCTGAATCCGGGGGCTCAAAGGGATCCTGGGGTGGGGGCAGAGAGCTGACTCAGCGGTTAAGAGTAAGTACTGTATCACAGCAGGCCAGGTTCAGCGTCCACGTCGGATGGTTCACAGCCGCCTATAGTTCCCAGTCTGGTAACTCTGCCCTCCAAGGGCATTGGCACTCATATGTTCATACCCACCACAGCCATCACACACACCCATACTTTAAAAATAATATTCAGAGAGAGAGAGACTGTCAGTTCCCTCCCCGTCGTTCCAGAAACAGGGAACGGTGGCGCATGCCTCTGGACCCTGGCCTCTGGAGATAGAGATGGAGGACAAGCCTGGGTCATGAGAATGTCTCTTCTTTCGAGACAGTGTCGCCTGTGTCCCAAGCTGGCCTTGCACGTGTGTGTGTTTTCATTCCCAGCATCTATTGCTCAGCTTTGTCTTTGAGAGTCACTGTTCTTGTTGTATCTGAAGGTTCTTCATTCATCCTCATTGTCACCTTGTCAACTGGTAGGCGTCAGCTCGCATTCTGCCACGGATCTGTACTGATAAGTGTCCTGAGACTGTACAATGACACTTTAGACTCTCCTACATGTGCCTTTAGTAATGCCTGCACTCGAGTTCTGTTGGGTGTATGCCTGGGCATAGACTGTGATCTTCTTGGTCCCAGGGCACAGGCGCATATCCTGTTTGAGTGGAGCCTGACAGTTTGCCTCAATGACTGTACCAGTGTGCGTTCTTGGGGTAGTTCTGAAGTCCCTGCACCTGCTTCTCTTTTCTGTCGCATCCTACTGGAAAGGGAAGGTTCTAGACTCCCAATGAATCTCATGGGCAGAAAGCTGAGCAGTCTCTATCTACCGAGTCCTGGGTGTAGAGGCATCCACCATCCTTCCCCTTTCTCCTATCTCAGTGATGGGCCACGCACAGCATGGGGTTTTCCCCATGGTCGAATGATGTTGTTTATAGCTTAATTCTCTGCCACCGGCTGGGTCAGTGCATCTGACAAGATTAAAGTGTTTGCATTCCTTAGACCCAGACCTTTAGATAAGGTCCTCAGAAATGCAGTCCGCTGTGTTCATGTGACCAAAAGCACCCCGATTTCCCACGCTTAGAAAGAATGCTTAGCATTATAGATGGAACCCGCCCTCCAGATTCCTAACTTCACCCCCTCCCCCATTTTAAATAAAAAAGGAAGACTTTGGCCTCAGAAAGAGGAACCCCAAGTAGGACGTGGTGGTTTCACACTCAGAGGAAGTGGCTCCCAGCGGCAGCGGGGGCGGCACAGGAGACAGCATGATGCTGGAGGCTGCTTGCTGCTGTCCAGTGAGTTAGGCCCAGCCTCGGTGCCACCATCTAAAGGAGGGCTCTCATAAACCAAACATAGCATTAACCCCAGAAGAAAGTGATCCTGTGGTAGGCATAGAAATGTTCTTTTTTTTTTTTTTTTTTTTTTTTTGTATTGGGCTGCAGTTCATGGCCTCAAGCATTCTAAGCATGTGTTCTTTGCTTCAGCCACACGTGACTCCCAAGTCAGAAGTCTTTCGTTTGTTTGTTTTGAGGTAGGGTCTCCTGTAGTCCAGGCTGGCCTTGAACTTGCAATGTATTAGTTGAACTCTTGCTCTTTCTGCCTCTGTCTGCCAAGTGCTAGGATTACAGCTGTGCACAACCAAACCCAGGCTGCTGGGAATTGAATGCAGGGCTTTGTGGACGCTAGGCAGGACTCTGCCAGCTGAACCCTAACCACACCCTCAGCCTAGAATCTCTCTCTCTCTCTTTTTTTTTTTAAGAATAAAAATTGGAGCCGGGTGGTGGCGCGGTGCACACCTTTAATCCCAGCACTTGGGAGGCAGAGGCAGGTGGATCTCCATGAGTTCGAGGCCAGCCTGGGCTACAGAGCAAATTCCGGGACAACTAGGGCTGTTACACAGAGAAACCCTGTCTCAAAAAACCAAAAAGAAGAATAAAAGTTGGCTGGGAACAATAGTGCATTCCTTTAATCCCAGGACTTAGAGGAAGAGGCAGAGGCAGACAGATCTCTGTGAGTTTGAAGCCAGCCTGGTCTACACAGTGAGACTATGTCTCAAAAAACAAAACAATAAAAATATAAAGAACATAAAATGTTGAGCAAAATTGATTGTATAAACATTAGTCCTTCTGCTTACTGCTCAGCCCGAAACTGGAGTCAATCGCATCCCCCGCCCCAACCCCGGGCTGTGTGGTGGGGGGGGGGGGGGCAGAAAGAGTGTGAAAACCCGAGGGTGGCGAGAAGTTGCTGTGAGAAGATGTTTTCTTGATCTGACGTGGCTCTTGCATCCATGAACTCATAGAGGTAGCAGGTTACTTGAGTAAGACCTGCACAAGACTGGGCCTGCCGCATCCCATGGTGCTGGGTGGCCAGAGGCCAGGCCATGAGACTCACTAGCCTGGAAGTTTAAACTCCTAGGAAGTGTTTGTGGATACACACTTGGAATAAGTGTATAGGTTGTGGTGACCTAGAGCCGGAGAAAGCTGGTGGCGGTGGGGAGGGATTTGGTGACTTGGAGTGTGGGTGGCACACCCTGTGTCCTGTGATCTGTAGTGTTTTGTTATTACTGTGGTGCTGTGGCGGGAGCAAGGGATGATGGAGGGAGGGGTTGGCATGACCAAGTAGGCTTTGAACTTACTATATAGCTGAGGCTGGCCTTGACCTCCTCCTGATCAGCTCCCGTTCATCCCAAGTGTTGGAACTGTGAGCAAGTGCCACTGTGCCTGGCGAGTCAAAGCTGTTTTCAAGCTGATTGGTTTCTGGCTAGACGTTTCTAAGAACTGCAGATGTTAGTCTTCAATTCTTAGATGTCAGGCCATTCCTCCTGTCTCCCTCTGGGTCATCTGCTGGTCATAATGCGAGTTCACCTGCAACGAGAGGTACCAGAGCCCAGAGGGTGGCCTAAGGTGATGTCACAAAACCACCTAGACAGTATCAGACCTCGTGTGTGTGTGTGTGTCAGGCTTTGTGTATTCCCCTGTGGCCCAAAAGATCTGGCCAATCCCACTTGTCCATGTCCAGCACAGCAAAGCAGTCTCATTGTGTCTCTGCCTTTCCCTCAGGAGAACGGGCCTCGGAGCAGTAAGGCAACAGAATGCCCCCTGGGGTGGACTGCCCCATGGAGTTCTGGACCAAAGAGGAGAGTCAGAACGTGGCTGTTGACTTCCTGCTGCCCACAGGGGTCTACCTGAACTTCGCGGTGCCCCGAAATGCCAACCTCAGCTCCATCAAACAGGTACAGCCTCCATCTTAAGGCCAGTTCTCACACCCTGACACTCAGACATAGAATCCTGGGTATCCACTGTGCACGTGTGCATCAGCCAGAGGATATAGCCTGGGCTATCATTTCTCAGGGTCCGTACACCTTATTTTTGTTTCCTTTTGGTTTTTTCTTACAGGATCTTATTGGAGTAGGCTAGGCCAGCTGGCCAGCAAGTCAAAAGGATCCGCTTTTCTCAGTCTCTTGAGCATTGGGATTATAGAAGATGCGGTCATACCCAGCTGTCTATTTTATTCTGCTTTAAGATTTACTTATTTTGCTGGGTGGTAGTGTTGGACGCTTTAATCCCAGCACTCAGGAGGCAGAGGCAGGCGGATCTCTGTGAATTCGAGGCCAGCCTAGTCTTTGGAACAAGTTCCAGGTTAGCCTGGGCTGTTACACAGAGAAACCCTGTCTTGAAAATCAGAACAAAGCAAGATTTAATTATTCTTATTTCATGTGTATGGGTATCCCTCGTGTGTGCCTGGTGCCCATGAGGAGCCAGAACTGGAGTTACAGATGTTTGTGAGCCACCATGTGGATGCTGGGACTTGAACTCTGGAAGAGCAGCCAGTGCTCCTAACTGCTGAGTCATCTCTCCAGCAAGCCCTGCCCCCTCTGCTTGTGGGTTCTGAGGGATCGGCTAGGCCAGCACTTTGCCAACTGAGCTCTTGCCCTCAACCCTTAGATGTGAGTTCTACCAGATAGAATTTCTAAGAATTGTTTAAAAACTTGTGGTTAAACTCCACTTATCATTCCAAAGTCAGCTTCCCCTTTGAGAGCATGCGTTTCCTTTCACTAGATTACTAGATGGCGAGCCAGTTTCGAGGCCGTCGCTGGCTGGGCTCACATGCCACACATGACTGTGTGGTCATTTTTGGAACAACTCTGTGTACCGTGCTTAGAGTTGTCGACTCTAAGCAAATGCTGTGCTAGAAAGGGGCTTGGGTTTTGCTGGATCCTTTTCGGGCTGATTTACTGAATCGAAGCCTTACATCTGGATGGCATTTGGTAGTTGCTGTCTGTGACTTTGAAACGGCTCGTGTGACCCACTAAGTGTGGCATTTACTGGGCTAGGTTTTGAGCTACCAAAAGTTGATACCTCGCCTGTTTTGTTTTTTTAGACAGGGTTTCTCTGTGTAACAGAACCCTGGCTGTCCTGGAGCTTGCTCTATAGACCAGGCTGGTCTCGAACTCACGGAGATCCGACTGACTGCCTCTGCCTCCTGATTGCTGGGATTAAAGGCGTGCGCCACCACGTCCAGATCTTACCTGAGAATTTTATGTCATAAATAGCAAGCAGGAAAACCGGCTGTAGAAGTAGGAAGCGTCTCTGCGGTCCTGTCTTCCTGAGAGATTTGCTTTAATATTGATTCTCCCCCACTATGAAAACAATAGAGACACATTCAAATTTAGGAAAATAAGAAAAAGGACATCAGGGATGTAGTTCAGTTGGTTACGGGGCTTGCCTAAAATGCACGTTGCCCTGGGTTCAATTCCCATCACATCATAAACCAGGTGCGTTCATACACGCCTGTAATCCCAGCACTGGGAGACTAAGCGGTTCAGAAGTTCTGGGTTACCCTCAGCCACACAGTGAGTTCAAGGACATTCTGGCCTCCCGTCTCAACAAAGAAAAGGCAGGCAGGCTGGCTGGTGAGATAAGGCTCAGCAGGTAAAGGTGCTGGCTTCTCACATCAACACCTGGACTAGTTCCTGGTTTTGTTTTTTAATTAAAATTTTTACATTTTTGTTTGTGTCTCCACCTTGCATGCGTGTGTGTGGATGTATGTCTGCCCTGCGTGGGAAGATCAGAGAAGAGCTTGCAGGACTCTGCCATCTCCTATGGCGTGTGTTCTGGGGGTCAAGCTTGTGTTGTCGGGCTTGGTGACAGAGCATCTACCTGCTGGGCCATCTTGCCAGCCCCCAACTCATTTTGTACTGTGCTCTGAGTCTTGGGACAATTCTGATGATGAACTTTTGTACCTTTCTCTTTTTAAAAAGGTTTCTGAATATGTATGATTTATTTTGCATGCAAATACGTATGTGTCCCATGTGTGTGCTTGGTGCCCGCATAGGCCAGCACAGGGTTGTTGGGTTTCCCAGAACTAGAGTTACAGGGTGTTGTGAGCTGCCATGTGAGTGCTGGGAACTGAACCCAGGTCCTCTGCAGGAGCAGCAAGTGCTCTTAACCTTGGAGCCACCCCTCCAGCCCCTTGTATCTTTTTTTTTTTCCCCTGAATGGACATTGTGACACCTTGATGCTGACTACAGACTTTATATAAATGCTCTCCAGTTTGACAGTTCATGCCTGTGGCCCCAGCACTTGGGAAGCAGAGGCAGAGGAATGAGTTTGATGAGTAGCCAGGTCTACAGAGTGAGTGAACATAGTGATCTCCATAGCAATCATCGTGTTCAAAAGTCACACCTGGTTGTCCCTCTGGGTGGTCAAAGGTCATCCATGAGCCCCAGCCCCCATTCTCAGAAAACCCTGACACCCAGCACGGAGGACAGAGACAGGAAGTTTATTAGCATGTGGCCAGTCCGCAGGGGTGTGAACTTTTGTCGTCTTGGGGGTCTCCCTCTGCCCTCTGGGTGTCTTGTAGGGGCTGACGTGACCCCCTCTCTCTTCCAGGTGCTGTGGCGAAATGCGCAGTATGAGCCGTTCTTCCACATGCTCAGTGACCCTGAGGCTTACGTGTTCACCTGCGTGAACCAGACAGCCGAGCAGCAGGAGCTGGAGGATGAGCAGCGCAGGCTGTGTGACATCCAGCCCTTCCTGCCCGTGTTGCGCCTCGTGGCGCGAGAGGGCGACCGCGTGAAGAAGCTCATCAACTCCCAGATTAGCCTCCTCATCGGCAAAGGTATACTTGCTGGGGGTAGGAGCTGCCCGGGCTGAGCCCACGTGGCCTGGTGTTGTGCTGACCCCCCCCCCCCATACTCCCAAAGGTCTCCATGAGTTTGATTCCTTGAGGGACCCGGAAGTGAACGACTTCCGCACTAAGATGCGCCAGTTCTGCGAAGAGGTCGCTGCTCGCCGCCAACAGCTGGGCTGGGAGGACTGGCTGCAGTATAGCTTCCCCCTGCAGCTGGAGCCCTCGGCAAGGAGTTGGCGGGCTGGCATCCTCCGCGTCACCAGCAGAGCCCTGCTGGTCAATGTGAAGTTTGAGGGCAGTGAGGTGAGCTGTGCCTTCAAAACCCCAGGGATGCAGGCCTGAGCTCTTCATCCAACCTGCCGTGCCCACGAGGGACCCCAGCATCTCCATTCCTTCTCCCAGTAGCATGAGATGACATTCGCCAGATTCCCCATGCCCGCCAAAGGGCTTAGCTGGTTGTCTAACCAGGAAATTTGGGGTTATTTTGCTTTATTTACGGGTATGAATGTTTGCCTCGTGTATGTAAGTGCAGGCGTGTCTAGTGACTACAGGGGTCAGAAGACAGCCATCAGAGTCCCCTGCAGTTAGAGATGGTTGTGAGCCGCCATGTGGGTGCTGGGAATGCTGGGAACCAAACCCCAGGTCTTTCTGCAAGACCAACAAATGCTGCTCATCAAGAACTGTCACATACAAGCAGATGTGACAGTGCAGACGAGTGTAGTGTTAGCCCACCCCATCCCCACCAGTGTTTCCTGGGATGCCTTGATCAGCCAACACCTAGGCTCTGACAGGCAGCCCTGCCTCTGCCTCAGAAGCCCCCGGGCCTGCAGAGCAGAAGGCTGACATCCTTCTCCCCACAGGAGAGCTTCACCTTCCAGGTGTCCACCAAGGACATGCCCCTGGCACTAATGGCCTGTGCCCTCCGGAAGAAGGCCACAGTGTTCCGGCAGCTTCTGGTGGAGCAGCCTGAAGACTATACCCTCCAGGTGAACGGGAGGCATGAATACCTCTATGGCAGCTACCCGCTCTGCCAGTTTCAGGTGAGCCCTCCCTGCCACCTGCGTGTGGCCCTGGGAGCATCAAGGGACCTGGATTTAGCCTCTCTTGAGTCTGAGGCAGACCTTTTTAGTTACCATGAGAGCATCCCCTTGCTGAACTGGTCCTCTGTAAGCACAAGGAGGGACCCCATCTTTATGGGAACCGACCTGAGGCCCCTCCTGAAGTTTGGGATAGGTAGTATCAGCTTGGCGAGTTCCTGGTAGCCAGTTGTCCAGGAAAGGAGTGGGGGACCACCCATCATCACCTCACCCTGCACCTCCATCCCAGTACATCTGCAGCTGCCTGCACAGCGGACTGACTCCCCACCTGACCATGGTCCACAAATCCTCCATCCTCGCCATGCGGGATGAGCAGAGCAACCCTGCCCCCCAAGTCCAGAAACCACGCACCAAACCTCCCCCAATCCCTGCTAAGAAGGTGAGACAATGTACTTCCTCCCCTGCGTCCCCCAGTCAGCTGGGAGGCACACCAGGAGGGCCTGGGTTCAGGGGCCCTTGGTGGGTGACCCGTGTCCGGTTGGAATCTGTGTGAACCGCAGGGCAGCCTCCATTGTCCTCTTGTGGATCTTACGGGTATCGGGGGCCCTGGTGCACAACACACTTTCTGGTAAAAGACAGACGGCATTGGGGACAGGTGTCTGGGCCTTGCCACCAACCCTGCCTCCCTTCTTCCCCAGCCCTCCTCTGTGTCCTTGTGGTCCCTGGAGCAGCCTTTCTGCATTGAGTTGATCGAGGGCAGCAAAGTGAATGCGGATGAGCGGATGAAGGTAGGGGCTCCTGGGCCAGGTGAGGGAGCCACTGTTTGCTATACAAACAAGGTGGCTGCGGCCAGGACGGGTGGTGGCGGAAGAAGAGTGGGAAGATGTCACACGAAAGCCACCTGACCACATTACCCAGCGTCCCTGACTGGAGTGGTTGTGAGCCGCTTCAAAACAGGAAGAGGGGAGTGGGGTGAGCCAGCCAGCCGGAGACTGATTCGTGGAAACCGGGCAGGGCCCATTTCTGTGTATTTGACTTCGGTGGAGGTTGTGGGGATGAAAGCGGTGTCTGGGGAGGTGTGAGGAGCAAGGAAGAGTGGCTGCATCTGGTCCGGGTGCGCCTGCAGCATGGACAGGTAGCTGCCTCATCCCCTGGGGTCTGAGCTCCCTTTGGGCTGTGAAGGTAGCGTAGGGGCTCTGTGCTCTTTGGTTTTTAAAAAGCACATCCACAAGCCTCACATCCTCTTCTCGCCGCTGCCGTCCAGGTGGAGGGATTATTATTCCATCTGTGGAATGGGAAGCCCACTGAGAGTCTGGGTTTCATTTCCAGCACCGTAGTTTTACCAGCTTGGAGGGCTGGGTGCCCGTGCCTGGGATGATCAGCTGGTGGCACTCCTGGATAGGAGTCCATACGGTTCAAAAAGGCAGGCAGGCTGAGGATGTTAGAGCCAGCGAGCCCTGGAATTACCATCTCCTGTTGAAGAAGCTGAGGCCTGAAGTAGGAAGGAACATGCCTTGAGTATCAGTGCATCATCTGTGTGGCCTCACATGCCCCGTGACTTCTTGTCCTGCTTGGCCAGTGGCTTCTCTCTGAGGGACAGCCCCCCCCCCATAAGGAAGTACATTCAGACTTACTTAAGAGTGAGGATATTTGAGGAGGACATTGGTGGGAGAAGCTGGCGAGGGAAGGGATATGGCCCAGGGTCCCCCTGATTCACTTGCTCTGTTTCTGGTACCCACCCTACCCCCAGCTGGTTGTACAGGCCGGGCTCTTCCATGGCAACGAGATGCTCTGCAAGACGGTGTCCAGCTCAGAGGTGAATGTGTGCTCAGAGCCCGTGTGGAAGCAGCGGCTGGAGTTTGACATCAACATCTGTGACCTGCCGCGCATGGCTCGGCTCTGCTTCGCGCTCTATGCCGTCGTGGAGAAGGCGAAAAAGGCGCGCTCTACAAAGAAGAAGTCCAAGAAGGCGGTGGGTAGCACTGGCTGGAAGGAATCTGGACCTCCCTACAGTGCCCCGCAGGCAGGCTAAGGACAGGGATCCTGGGGGGCCTGGAACCCTAAGCCTCTGTACCATCATAGTCTGGATCCCTCCGCACTCTAGGGATAGCTTGTGAACGGCCTGCTTGAAAATATCCACTGTGAACCTGTAGTCCAGGGGGCTTTTGCAGGCAGCTTCCTGGGTAAAAAGTGTCCTTGGTGGCATGGGGTAGCTGTTGCCTTGAGTGGCTGGGCCCCCAGTCACACTTCCAGCATGTCAATTGGCCCTTGTCCTGCTGTATACACTGGAGCCCAGCCAAGTGCTGGGACAGGCTCCTGTTTCTCTGGAAGCCAGGATCAGAGATACAGGCCTTGCTGGTTTGTCACTAGGACAAAGCAGTTGGTCCTCCCTTGAGTCTTCCTGGGAATCCTCCCTTTTCCCATTGGGCTTTCAGGGTTGTCCTGATCAGCAAAGGGGGCTTGGGAGCTCTGTGACTGGCTCTAACCCACTGGCATCCCTCCCTAGGACTGCCCCATTGCCTGGGCCAACCTCATGCTATTCGACTACAAAGACCAGCTCAAGACTGGGGAACACCGTCTCTACATGTGGCCCTCTGTCCCAGGTGGGCCCAGCCCCAGGGGAGCAGCTAGCAGGGGTGGAAGTCCCAAAGCGAGTGACTTTATAACTCCATCTGTCCCTGAGTTCAGATGACAAAGGAGAGCTGTTGAACCCGGCGGGTACAGTGCGTAGTAACCCCAACACGGAGAGCGCCGCGGCCCTGGTCATCTGCCTGCCTGAGGTGGCCCCCCATCCTGTGTACTTCCCTGCTCTGGAGAAGGTCAGTGAGGACCCCTGTCCTGCTAGACCATTGCTTCTCGGCCTTCCTAACAGTGCAATGTCTTACTTAATACAGTTCCTCTGTGGTGGTGGCCCCACCACCACCATACATTGTTTTCTTTGCTTCTTCATGACTGTAATTTTACTACTGTTATGAATTGTACACAAATATTATCTGTGTTTTCTGATGGTCTTAGATGACCCCTGTGAAAGGGTCATTCGACTCCCAAAGAGGTTGCAACCCATGGGTAGAAAACGATTGTTCTAGACCTTCCTTACTCCGGTTCTACAGTTCTTAAAGAGTAGATCCTGGCCGCCCTGGGATTTGCCCATTGCTAGGCTGTATGTTAGGCCAATTCAGGGGTTTCCAAGAGCCATTTGGGCCGCCACTGGGTAATATCTGTGTGGGAAAGATGTTCCTGGCATGTCATAGGCACGAGCTCGGACGCCGGTCAAAGCTGTGCAGTACACAGCACGGTTTCCACAAGTGAGAAGGGACAAATGCTAGGTCTGAGGTGTAGATGTCCTGCTTTGGGGCCCTGCAGGGGCTGCCCCAAGCCCAGGGTGTTGAGAGCTGGACGCTTGTTGCAGATCCTGGAGCTGGGGCGTCATGGTGAACGTGGGCGCATCACAGAGGAGGAGGTGAGCTCAGATCCTGGGGTCGGGGAGCTGGGGATCAGGTGCGGAGCTGAAGGCCTCACCCTGTCTGCGTCCTTCAGCAGCTGCAGCTGAGGGAGATCCTGGAGCGGCGGGGGTCTGGGGAGCTGTACGAACACGAGAAGGACCTGGTGTGGAAGATGCGGCATGAAGTCCAGGAGCACTTCCCGGAGGCCCTGGCCCGCCTGCTACTGGTCACCAAGTGGAATAAGCACGAGGATGTGGCCCAGGTGAGTGGAGAAGGGGATTCTGGGGAAGGAGCCCGGGGCAGATGGACAGCTGCCGCCCACCCCTCACCTGACCACCAAGCTGTCCCAGATGGTCTATTTGCTGTGCTCCTGGCCGGAGCTTCCTGTGCTGAGTGCCCTGGAACTGCTGGACTTCAGCTTCCCTGACTGCTACGTGGGCTCCTTCGCCATCAAGTCCCTGAGGAAGCTGACGTGAGTTCCCGCTGGGTGCTACCTTTGGGGACACAGACTCCCGTCTTTTCCAGAAGGGTCCTGGGTTGAACCTGGCCTCTGCCTCCTACAGCCCTCTTTCTCCGCAGGGATGATGAGCTTTTCCAGTACCTTCTGCAGCTTGTGCAGGTGCTCAAATACGAGTCCTACCTGGACTGCGAGTTGACCAAATTCTTGCTGGACCGAGCCCTGGCGAACCGCAAGATCGGCCACTTCCTCTTCTGGCACCTCCGGTAGTGAATGCACCCTAGCCTGAGGGCCACAGGGAAGGGGGACCTCAGGCTTGCTGACCTTAGATTTCTATCAGGCCCAGATGTTCTGGGTGCCCTGGGCCCCACCCAGGCTGGGGTGTGTGTGTAGTAAGGTCCTAGGCAAGACTCAGTACCATTTTTTTTTCAGCTCTGAGATGCACGTGCCATCAGTGGCGCTGCGTTTTGGCCTCATCATGGAGGCCTACTGCAGAGGCAGCACCCACCACATGAAGGTGCTGATGAAGCAGGTAAGACTTGGCCGGACTCTCCTTCTGGCTGTGTGCCTTTCCCCCCAACAGCACTGTCCTCCCTGGCACCCACCGCTGCCTTTCCGCTGTCACCACCAGGGGGAAGCACTGAGCAAGCTAAAGGCGCTGAATGATTTCGTGAAGGTGAGCTCGCAGAAGACCACCAAGCCCCAAACCAAGGAGATGATGCATATGTGCATGCGCCAGGAGACCTACATGGAGGCCCTGTCCCACCTGCAGTCTCCGCTCGATCCCAGCACCCTGCTGGAGGAAGTCTGGTGAGCCCCACGCCCAGCCCCACGCCCGGCCCCACTGGGGCTCCTCCCACCCCTCGGGCCTGCGGAGGAGCACCTGTGGACCCCACTCTCTGGCCAGCAGTGTGGAGCAGTGCACCTTCATGGACTCCAAGATGAAGCCACTGTGGATCATGTACAGCAGCGAGGAGGCAGGCAGTGCTGGCACCGTGGGCATCATCTTTAAGAACGGGGATGGTGAGCAGGCGGGCTGGGGAACCCGTCTCTGGGCTATCCCGATGGGTGGTCCTGGAGACATGAATTGGAAGCCTAATCCTGGGACCTAAGGGAATGCAGAGCCTAGCAGACACTGTGGTCTCCTTCCCACGCTGCAGACCTCCGCCAGGATATGCTGACTCTGCAGATGATCCAGCTCATGGATGTCCTGTGGAAGCAGGAAGGCCTGGACCTGAGGTGGGGGCCCATCCCAAAGGGCATCAAAACTATCGTTAACACGGCGGCTGGGAAAGGGATGCTCTCAGTGCAGGGAGACAACGGAAAGCTAAGAGAGGCCAGGGAAGGCCGTCCAGGCGTCCACCTTGCTCCCTCTGCACTTCCTGGCCTCCTGCCCACCTAGAAAGCAGAAACCTTTTCCCAAGCCCTCATCGTATTGCCAGAGCCTCCCGAGTCCTCCCCTCCTCAGCAACCTGAGTATTTCATCCCCTGTGGCTGTTTTGAATGTCTCTCCAGGACAGCCTTTGGTCATGACAGTCTCCTCCCCTTCTCACAGGATGACCCCCTACGGCTGCCTCCCCACTGGAGACCGCACAGGCCTCATTGAGGTGGTCCTCCACTCGGACACGATTGCCAACATCCAGCTGAACAAGAGCAACATGGCAGCCACAGCTGCCTTCAACAAGGACGCCCTGCTTAACTGGCTCAAGTCCAAGAACCCCGGGTAGGTTGCAGGCCTTCTTCCTGGGAGGCCTGATGTGGGAAGGGTGGGGCCTATCAGAGAGAGACAAGGTAAGAGGAAGGGCTGTGACCTTCTCTGACTGTGGCCAGCCTGAGTCTGAGTCAGCAGGGCTGTTCTCACCTGCCATGCCAATGGCTGTGTGATGCCACTAAAGGCTTCGGGACATCCGCCATTCTGAGTGGGCTCGAGTGGGCTCACCTGGGATATTCTACATGTATTGCTTTAGGACACCTCAAACCATCTGGGGCTTTTGCCAAGCCTGGAGGGTCTAAGCAGGATTCCACTGAATGCCTGGAGCCTCGATGTACCCTCCTGTGGGCTGCCTCTCTCCTCCTGGCCTCTGCTCAGCCCCAGCTTCTCCCCATGGGGAACAGGTTCAAGATCAGGGAGGCAGCCTAGGGTGTTGGAACAGTGCATTCTGCATCTGTTGAGTATAGCAAGCGGAAAGGCTAGACTCTAGAGGGAGAGAGGCAGCCTCTGCCTAGGGTGTGTGGCCGTGACTTTCGATCTTCCCCACCCAGGGAGGCCCTGGATCGAGCTATCGAGGAATTCACCCTCTCCTGTGCGGGCTACTGTGTGGCCACGTATGTGCTGGGCATCGGTGACCGACATAGTGACAACATCATGATCCGAGAGAGCGGACAGGTAGGGAGGGGTGGTGGGCGTCGGCCCCCCTGGGTCCCTGCGGCTCCAGCCCAGGGCTACTCCTGAGCCCGCACGCCAGCGCTGTCCCTCTTTCCTGACTTCTCATTCTGTACCTTTCCCTCCCCGTCAGCTGTTCCACATCGATTTTGGCCACTTTCTGGGGAACTTCAAGACCAAGTTTGGAATCAACCGTGAGCGAGTTCCCTTCATTCTCACCTATGACTTTGTCCACGTGATCCAACAGGGGAAAACTAGTAACAGTGAGAAATTCGAAAGGTGAGGGCACCGCCACTGCCTCCGCCCTGGACCACAGGGACCCCGGGTGAAGGGCCACAGACGGAGACAGTCTCCCGGTCCCTCCCGTGGTGGGTAGTCTGGAGGAGACAGGGTGAGGAGGTCAGCCTGAGGAGCTAGGGGCTTTGGTACAGCCATCACCAGAGCAGCGGCTCAGGGAAAAGTGCAGAGACTGGCCTTGGCCCAGAGGGATGGTGAGAACCCAGGACCTCACCTGCTCCCTGCTGTGCCTCCCTCACCCGCAGGTTCCGCGGCTACTGTGAACGCGCCTACACCATCCTGCGGCGCCATGGGCTGCTCTTCCTCCATCTCTTCGCCCTAATGCGTGCCGCAGGTCTGCCCGAGCTGAGCTGCTCCAAAGATACCCAGTATCTCAAGGTAAGTGCTGCACGGGGTTCCTGTGGCTGTGATCAAGACCGTGACCGCAAGCAACGTGGGGAGGAAAGGGGTTTACTTTAGCTTCCAGCTGTAGTTGATCAGGAGTGGGCCCTCGAGTGAGTCCCTCCCCATGGCTTGCTCAGCCTGCCTTCTTACACAACCCAGGACTGCATGCCCAGAGGTGGTGCCATTCACAGTGGGCTGGGCCCTCCACATCAGTCACTGACCAAGGAAAATGCCTCCCAGGGCTACTTACAGTCAGTTCCTCAGTTGAGGTCTCTCGTCCCAGAAGTCTCTAGTTTGTCAGGTGGACAAAAACCTAAGCAGCAACTCAAGCCGAGGCTGAGATGGGACCTACTCCAGGGCTCTCTGCTTCCCCAGGCTGGCCTGGGCAGGCTGGGTTCTAGAAGGGCCCCCCCCCCATTGGTAGACTTCTTGAGAATAGTGATGCTCATGGGGGGCAGGGTGCACACCATCCCTGACCTAGCAGTGGGGTCTTCTGGGACGCGGCCAGAGAGCTCCAGTTTGCTGGGCTTCGTCATGCTGGTATGAGATGTGGTGACCTTTCTTAGTCCGTCTCTCACAGGTGTCTCACACTCACGTGTGAGCTGTGTGAGCTAAGGTCCTGTCTACATCTTATAAACTGCTTCCGGCCCACATGCTCAGTTTGTGGTCAGTGGAGCAGAGTGAGGTGGTGACAGGTCACAGAGCTGGCCAGGGCATTCCCTGAAAGCCACCTAGCACTCCAAGGCTTCTGGCTCCGGACACCTGAGCAGTGGGTGGGCTGGGTGAGCCATGGGGCTTGCAGGTCTGAGTAAGCGCTTTCCCTTCTAGAGGGAATTTAACCTCCCTTAGGCTTCAGTACAGATAGGGTAACAGAGAACAGGGTCCCTCAGCGTCTCCTCGCTGTGTGTTTGTCTAGGACTCTCTGGCACTAGGGAAGACAGAGGAAGAGGCGCTCAAGCACTTCCGGGTGAAGTTCAATGAGGCCCTACGGGAGAGCTGGAAAACCAAAGTCAACTGGCTGGCGCACAATGTGTCCAAGGATAACAGGCAATAAGGGGCCCTCCCCTGGCTGTCAGCCCCAGAGGTAAACTGTCGGACCTGGGGACTAGGCACGCTCAGTGGTCATCAAAGAGGCCATGACACCTGAACGGTTCCTCAGGGGGAGGAACCACACAATTGCCTCTTGTTTACACTGGTTATTTATTTATGACTCAAATTAAGGAACAAAACAGCCATAAATGGAACTGTCTTTGTGGAGGGGGGGTGATGTCCTCGTGGGACACCCCTCATCCCACCCCCATCAGCACTGTAAGCAACGCCTTGAGGATCGTACCCCGAGTCTTCCAACCTGTGGACCTTGGCCCAGCAAAGAGTTCTTCTTGGGGCCTTCTTCAGGCTCCCAGCTAGGCTGCCTGGGGCAAGCCTGGCAGTGACCTGTTACCTCCCATCCAGACAGACGACACCTCAATCCTCAGCTCACCTCCACCACCTTTGTGTGGCCCACCTTTGGCGACCTCCACCAACCAAGCCTCTGGCAGCTCCCGAGGAAGTCAGGGCACCCTCTAGACTCAGGCACGTTTGCTCTGCCCTGCTGAAGTGACCTCTTGGATATGGGGACACCCTCACCTTTTATTTTCGGGTAAGAAAAGGATAGCCAAACTATGTACAGAACTCGATAGCTGGGAGAAGGGCCTGGCCCCCCACTATGAATAGTATGTGCCAGTCTTAAACACTCAAAACTGGCGACTGGTTCAGGGCAGTGTGGTCACGAATGGAGACAAAGGCAAGAACAGAGTCCACTGTGCAGAGTGTGAAAGAGTGTGAGCCACACCCAAAGGCAGCTTTAGGGACAGGCAGGATCTCTCCCAGAGCTATCCCCTGAAAGGCAGCTGGAGAGCCAGGTTCTGAAGGGAGAACAAGAGTGAGGGCCAAATTCAAAGCAGCCTGGGCTTTCATCCTTGAAAAGGAACAGATCACAACGACTCTAGAGATGCAGGTCTGAGCCTCCTCCCGGGCTTCCCACAGCCACTCTAGCGATGGAGCAAGGCACCTGGGCTTTTAGCTCAATGATCTGGGGACACAGCTCAGTGATACAGCATGCGCTCCATCTCCATGTATCGGCTGCCACCTCAGGACCTGGGTGTCTCGGTATCATTCTGAGACCTGCAGACCCTTCGTGGCTGTGTTGCCAGCAGCCCAGAACATGGCTCAAGGAGGCCAGGTGCCAGTGCCCCCTGTTGATGAGCTGAGGGTCCAGCAGCAGTTTGTACCTCCACAAAGAACCTGCTTAGCCCACAGTAGCTGCTGAAACCCTTAGTCTGCCCCCCACCAATGCTGAGACAGGAAATGTGCTCGTGTGTGTGAGAGAGAGAGAGAGAGTGTTGTGTGTGTGCATGCGTGTGTGCGTGCCTGCCAAGTTATTTATTGAAACGAGTCTGGGTGCTCCCTGGTGTGGTGCAGACTGCACACGCTCAGCCTTTGAGTTTTTATGGTCTGTGCACCTGGCTGTAAGAATATTTTCTATTTTTTTTTAAGTCATTTCATGTTTGTGTGTGGGAAGTGGACTTCCTTCCACTGATGTGGGCTGAGACATCGGTGCCACCTTGACTTGACAGGTAAAGACAGGTGGAAAGAAATAAAAGGCTTTCTATGTTCTTACATTCTCGGCTCCAAAAGCAGCAGGGGGTGGGCTGGGGACCCTGCTCAGGGGTGGAACACGTACCTGGAACGTGCGAGGCCTGATGCCTTCCTCCATACCATAACAACCGAAACAAATCCTGGCACGGGTGTGGTGGGCACCTGCAATCCCAGCACTGTGCACGCAGAGGCAGAAGGATTGCTGTAAGTTCGTAAGCAGCCCTGGTCTAGACAGGAAGTTCCAGGTCAGCCTGCCAGGGCTCCACAGCAGATCTTGTCTCCCAAATAAGGAAGTGACAGAACAGACCCCACTCAGGCTGGAGTTAGAACCAGAACTTTATTATAATGCATACACTTCCTGATCTAGCGTCAATATACACAGATTAAAGGGGACAGACGCTGCAGCTACCAACACATGAACATGTCCCTCTCCCCATCAGCATCTGTCCATCTAATAAGACAGCTACAGGGACTGGACATGGGAGGGTGGCCTCAGACAGTACAGCCGTCGGCATCCTTAAAACTAGCAGTGAGGGCCAGAGACTCCCAGTTGGAGAAGTCTAACTGATTGTATGTGGCGAGCTGAGTGCTGTGGGCTTAGACGCTGTCTCCTACCTCGCCACCAAGCAACGAGACTCCTAGCTACGGGGGCTTGGGTCTTATCCCACACCCCGACAGCAAGGGGGCATCCCATGGGGCCTCTAGGGAGGAGAGGAAACGGCCTGTTTTGGAGCATTCTAGCACTTTGTCTTTGGGCCTCAGTATCTCCTTTTGGATGTTGCAGTATAGACTTACTCAGGCCTGTTGTCTTCAGATCAAGGAGCCCGAGTGTCTTGCAGAATTAGCTGTCAGTTCTCATGAGCTACACATTTTCACCAACAGGGAGACATATTTAGTAAAGAGAAACCACGAGGCTGCAAGTGAGGTGGCTGCCGGTCACTGGAGTGTACGAGAGGCCAGGGGCCTTGGCAACTACCTGGCTGTTGAAGCCTCTAAATGTGGTTGGGGTGCTCGGGTCTGGTCCTCCAAGCAGCACTGGAAAGAAGCCTGTGGCCTCTGCCACGTGACTGTAGAGACCCCAGCAAGGGCCAAGTGACCTGGACCTCTCTAACCTGATCTCTTGTGAGGAAGGTGGAAGAGGGAGAGTTCCTCCTGGGCCTGTGTCTGACTTCAACTTTACACTCCTGTGCTGGGCTATACTAGCACAGGAGAACACAAAGAATCCCGGTTTATTTACAAAATATTAAAAAGCCAGTTGGTCATCTACATATTAACCCCCAATCTCCCACTTTATACATGCACTAGTTGAAAAAAAAATAAAAACTTTTAAAAATAAAGAAAAATGATGACTGGGCGGGAGCAGTGTTTTTACCCTTTGTCAGCAAGTCCAATCACTGCAGCGTCTCTGGAGGTGCGAGGTGCCGAGGCCCTCTCCCGGACCGACGGAGGAGCTGTGGGGCCACTGCACCCAGCCGTGGCCAGGGAGGAAGTGCCAGCTCCTAGCAAAACTGCAAGTGTGATGGGCAGGGAGGGTGGAGGGCGGAGCCGAGGGCCCACACACTGTGCACAGGCGGATTTCAGCGATGGGGGAGGGGTCTGCAGACCTGCTGGCCGAAATGATTTTGTACATCGTGGACCCGTGGGGCTGGGAGATGGCTAGAGAGAGTTCTGGAGAGCAGGTGTCGAGGCGGGCGTTCAGTAGCTGAGCGTGGAGTCATCCCATTCCAGCTGCTGCTGCCGTGTGGCGTTCTGGCCATCCCCCGGGCCGCCCTCCTCCTCCTCACTGCTCTCTGACTCGGCACTGGTGATCTCCTCCTCCTCCTCCCCATCTTCGCTCTCCTCTTCCTCCTCCTCTTCCTCCTCCTCCTCGCTACTGTGCTGGTCCTCATACGTCTGGGAAAGAGAAGATGGTGTAAGGCTAGCTGGTGGCTCCTCCACCCAATGTCCACCTGCTGGAAGCCACAGAGGGAGAAACCAACCCTACAGTGACAGGGGCTGAGCTGCACTGGGGCAGCCAAGCGCGCACCAGCAACTCAGTATCCATGCCCTAGGGAAGGGTATCCATGCCCTAGGGAAGGGGTGCTCGATGCTGAGGGATGAGATTCGTCCTGTTACACCAGAAACATCTTGGGGTAAAGAAGCAGAGAACACCAGTTGCCTACCTTGCTAATCAGTGTGACCTTCAGCAAGGTCTCTGGGCCCGGGTTTCCTCAACTGAAGACCCCCTAAGCGCACAGACCCGATGTGCAGAGTACATGGCACATACAAGGACGCAAGGGGCCACGGTTGCACAGGTCTCTGGTGCTCTGCAGTCTGGGGACGCCTCTGCGCCTACCTCCATGGGGTTCACGGTGATGGTCAAGGCCGAGTCGTCCCAGTCCATCTCGTTCTCCTTCCCGGTGTCCTGGTCCCGCATGGTTCGCTGATGGGCAGCTCGGATCCGAAACACCCCCAGGATAATCATGAAAACCAGGAAGCTGACACACACCACAATCACAACGGTTGCTGTGCTGGGGACAACTGCCAGGAGATTTGAAGACCGGATTCAGCTTTTGTGACACTGCTTACCTGGATAGCAGTCCCACCCTGGGCTTCCTAAACTAGCTGAAGTGAGAATGAATGTGTCACAGCGCTTCACCTGATCCTAAGAGACTAGGGGGAAACACTAAGGCAGCCAGGCCTCGCTCACCTTCCACTCTGCGGCTGTGGTAAGCTGCCTTCTGTATGTGACAGTACAGGGGAGCTGTGCTTATAGCCAGGTTTAGTGGGGGACCCACGTGGACCCTACTTGGATGCCATGGACTTCCCAAGAGCCCTACCTGCAAATGGGTGAGGATTGGCCAGGTTGTGACCAGACAGGTCAACAAAGGAGCGATGTTCAGGGTGGACAAACTGTGGCTGGGCAGCCATGTGATTGGCGTGTTCCACAGGGTTAGCTGTGTGGATCACATTCACCTGCAGAGGACAAAGAGATCACTGAAGCCGGCGTCCCACGTGTACCTGACCGGCGACCATGGAGTCAATCAGGCGAAGCTGTGCTGTTCCAAGGCCTCCAGGCTGGGTACAAACAGGGTTACTCCAGTGACCAGAAAAAAAAAAATCAAAAGGAGAACCTGTCAACTGATGTGTAACACTGTCACACATCCCAGAAACAGTGCTTGTCTAACGTTTATTTATAGTGTAGCTTAGAAAAGAAAACATTTGCATCAGTGAAGAAAACAAGCCCAGCTCACCTCAGACCACTTTCCCTGCTACCCCGGCTGGAGGAGAGGCAGACCAATCACCATTTGCCCTCTGGCTCAGGTAAAACGCTTGCCAGCATTCTAAATTGAGCCTTGGCACGCTACTTAGGTCATGGCGGAGACAGTGAACTGCTCAGAACAACTGAGTCCATTTCCCCAGACTGCAGGGGCCCTGGTTGATGAAGTCGGCTGCAGCAGAGGGTAAATGTCTGCCAGCTACTGTGACCTCAGGGTGACCACGGCCTAGTGTCGGCACCCCCAGCCGGTGGTGATCCAACACAGCTGCAAGGCCATTTGCTTCCCTGGGGATTTTCCCATGTGGACCCCCAGGAGCAACCTTACCCCTCCTAAAGACACTCACCCTTTACCTCTAGCCAAGGTCTCCAAGCCTGCATGTGAACCCTGCCAGCAGCCCACAGTGTGAACAAAGCCACCTTGGGACCAAGAGTCAGGACACTTGAGTACCTTCTACCGTTGGCCCTTCATGGGTGGGGCTGGACTCACCTCCACCTTGAATTCGTTGCTGAGGTAGCGACCATTTAGTTCTGAGCAAATGAGCTTGAACTTCCGGTCAAGCAGGGACCTGGTGTGCCAATTCCGATAGCGCAGGAGGTGCAAGACCTCCTCATAGCTTGCCATGGTGTCCACACCTGGGGGGTGTCAAAGGCAAGTGGCTTTTAAGTCTGGAGCGTGGGTGGACCCAGGAACCTGAAGTCACGCACTTGGGTCAGCTGAGCCAATGGCCGCACCCTTGTGGCTGAGGCAAGTAGGAGCATTTCTCCATCCAGGGGCCTGTGCCGTTATGTGCCCAGCTCACCCTGCATACGGCACTGCCTATGTCCCCCATTCTCTGCACCCCCACCATGTGCAGAGGGCAGCGGTGTGAAGCGAATGTGTCAGTCCACTCTGCAGGCAGCAAGAGCCTCCCTTTCCATCTTACCCTCTGCTCAGCTCCAGCCCCTCACCTGTAAAGACCACGCCCAGGTCCGAGTGGCTCACTTCGATGCCCTTCTGCTGGAGGCGGGCCGCATCCACCTCCAGACTTTCCTGCTCTGGGTTCAGCTCCTCCCCTTCCACTGTGACCTCGCAGGTGTCCAGGTCATGCACAATTTCCTCTGACACCAGGGACTCTTGAACTGCAGAAATGCCGACCAGAAATAGCAGAGGCTATGGGGCGGGCAACGCCAGTCAACCCCAATCCCCAGCCGCATCTCAGGCTCACAGCCAGAGTTCTAGGGACTGAGACTGAAGCAAGGAGGAGTCGCTGTCAAGACGTGGGGCGCTGGGATTATAGGCAGTGGTGGAACATAAGGCCAGCATGTTGAAGGCCCGGGTCCCAGGCCCAGAAACAGCTCAGTGGATAAACAGAACTTGGTGAGTACCCAGTAAGAATGGGGGGGACACTGTCTTCCTGTGGGCTGGCCTTAAAGCTATGTCTTAAAGTCTGATGTCTGACTAAAAAGCAATGTAAAGATTCCCTCCACCCGCAGCCAGGATTCAGAAGCAGACTCAAGTACGAAAACATTAAACCCTAGAACCGCACAGAAAAAGGACCCGTGAGGGGGCTGGCAGGCCCAGGTGCAGCTGTTACCTGTAGGGTCCTCAGCCCCGTCCCCCTCAGGCTCCACTTCTCTGGTGATGGTGCTGATGATTCGGAGCTCGGGGAAGAGCGAAATGCCCTCTGGGCTCTCAAACTCAGAAGCTGCCCGGGCAAAGTGGTGGACCCCACTCAGGCTGATCTTGGGCTCCTCTGGCTGCAAAACCATCACGTAGCCTTCAACTGGGGGCACCTCGATGCAAGCCGCCTCATTAAAACACCTTCAGGGAAGCAGGGAGAAAGGAGGCTGAGGGCTTTGAGAGCTAGGAGGCTGTCACCCATCAAAGGTTTGTGTGAGGCTTGGAGGGGACAGAGGATGGCCACTCCAGGAATGCACTTCCCATTGTGGTTGGGAGAAATTTAATTCCTCCAGGCTTTGCAAGATGAAGTCATGACTCCCCTCCCTTAGAGGGGAAGGCAAGTCTAAGGGCACACACACACACTCCGCCAACAGGTCAGTGAAGTGGGAACACACTCCCTGCTTCCGGTCAGGACATACTTGACCGTGCTGGTGATTCTGAGTCTGCGGATGCCGGGCGTGGGGAACTGCCTTGAGTTCAGATAGGAAACATGCTGCAAGGCTTTATTCAGCTCGCCAACGTCGTCTCCCTCCAAGGTCAACACAGCCTGACTGGAGCTCGCGTGGATCTGAAACCATCACACTAGAGTTGGGAACAAGATTGCAGCCGAGAGGAGCCGAAGCCGTGAGAGATGGCGGAGCAATCAGCCCGACTGAACCGCTGACTCTTTAGTCCCCAGAGTAAAATCCCTCACCCCCAGCCAGATGAAGGCACCCAGGAGGCAGAGGCAGGTGATCTCTGAGGCCAATCTGGTCTACAGCATGAGTTCCAGGGCAGCCAGGGCTATACAGAGAAACCCTGCCTCGAATAACAAAACCAAAACCAAAAAATCCTTTCACCCACCTCTGCCTTACCCTGGCGGCCCCACTCCTAGCAGGCTAGGCTGAGTTGAGGTGACACTTACCTGCACCCCTCTGCTGCCATCCTCGGGGACCTGCAAGTCCAGCCCTTCCTTGCAGGTATACAGACAGTCAATCACTTTCTTATCCGCCAGCTTCCCAGAACGGATTGTGAGGCCGGCCAGGTTACCTCGGAAAAACTGTGTCATGTGCAGGTCGCCACCTGGGGGACAGGAGGGGCGGGATGTTAGGCTTGCAGCTCGCAGCTCCTGGTTACCGCTCAGGCTGTAACCAGTGGTGGCAGCTCGATGGATGGACATGCAAGTTAGTTCAGACCAAACTGTTAGCCTTGCAATCTACATGGAAGCGCAATGAAAAAATTAAATTGTTTATGATCATGCACATGGCCTGGAGAAGAGAGAAGCTTGGGGTGGGGGGTTCCCTCACCCAGAGCCTGGATGCCCAGGGGCCCCTTCTTCCATATCTGACTACTCCCTGATGGATGGTGGTCAACCCAGAACCATAGACCAAGGTGCACAGGGCACTGCCCCCTTAGCACTAGCTGTTCATCTAACACCTACTTGG